GTATTTGAGAACAAAATCGCTTATAATATTACTAGTTTCCATCATTGTTAATTTTAACATTAATAATTAAACAATACTATAATTATTATCTAATTATATATTACAATTATTGAATTGAAGTGTAAATAATTTTTAAATCAGGCAAAACTTCTAGGAGTTAAGGACTAATTTCAATTCTTAGAATATTTATAATACTCTCATTTTAATTTGATGATGTTTTGGTCTATATAAATAATAATCATAAAGTTTAAAGTAAAAAAATTAGATAAAAGTATGTAATTGTGTCAAATTATATTGCTTTTAAATGTTTAAAAACAAAAAAGTGTATTTAATAAATAATTCTAAAATTAGATTATATTCTTTATGATCAAACTTTATCTTTTAATTGGCTTATATTAGTTATTTTAAAGATAAAAATTTTTAAGATTATTTTTAACCATATTGTTTAGGCTAGTATTTTATATATTATAAAATACAATTATTTTGATTAATAGAATTTAAATTATTAGTATAAAAGTGTATTTGAATATATATTAGATATTAAATAATAAAATATTATTTGGTAATGTAATTTAAAGATAAAATGTTAAAAAGATGATCATTAAGATGAGATAGACATGGTTTGTTACAATTAATTTTGTTAAGAATTCAGATTAAATTGCTATAAACTTATGAAGAATGGAAGAATTCATAATGATCAATTTGATGATGTTGAAAAAGTCAACAGCTTGATTCAATTCATTGATAGAAAAAATTAAAAATGTGATATATTAATTGATGATCTTAATAAATTAGTGCAAATGATGAATCAATCATTTTCTTAATGAAATCATAAAAAAATATTATTTATATTAGGATAGATTGGTGTTTTTGAATCCTTAATAATTAAATTATTACTTGAATTCAACAATCTAATTTAAAGAATATTAACAATCAATTACAGAAATCCTTTCAGAATAGACTAATAAATTAAATCATTCATTTAATAATTTATATCAATAATTAAAATTATCATAATTTAATTATTATTAGATTAATAATAATTCTATATAATTATCTAAACAATTATACGATAAAGGTATTCATCTTATTTTAATTATTAGGATATAAATTATATTCGGAATATAAATATCATGAGGCTATAGAAGTACTAGATAAATCTATATAATAAGATCCAAATAATCATCAATCATTATGGTGTAAAGGTTAAATAATAAATAATCAATAGGTTAATGTTTATTTACTTTATTAATTTTTACAGATAAAAGATTATTAAATAAATATGAGGATGCAATCACTTGGTTTGACAAAGCATTAGCTTGTGATTAGAAGCATGTTAATTCTTTATTTGGAAAAGGTAGATTGCATCATAATTTAATTAATAGGTGAATGTTTAAGAATATTGAGAAAATATGATGAATCTTTAAAAATATTAGATTAAGCACTTTCCATTAATCCACAACATAATTTTTCTCTTAAATCTAAAGGTATATTATAATATTAATTTATAGGTGCATGCTTATTTTGAATCAATATCTTAAAATAATTAGAAGATCAATAAAATTAAAAAGAAGTTTTAATATATTATGAGAAATCATTAAAGATAGACCCATATGATAAATGGACGATAAACTAAAAGAGTATTTTTTACATATTAGATTAGAAATTTGTGAGAATAAAATGAAACAACGAGTATTCAAAATTAACAATAATTTTATTATTATTCCTTTTTCAAATTATTTTATTAAAATGTGATATAGAATTTGGTGAGAAAAACTTTTATGATCATAATTAGTAATTCTATTTATAGATGAATTATTGAATATGATAATTATCGTTCAAAAATACATTACATATTGTTAATCATTTATAGAAAGATTTCAGCTTTTAACTATTTTTATTTAATTTATCATTTAATCTTTATTATCTTAAAAATTTTCTAATTTCAAGAAGAATATTTGAAATAAATATTAGGTAACAATTCATGTCAATGCCAACTAATTTAATAAAATCCATCATTCAAAGTCAAAAATAAGGAAATTTTAATCTCATTTAAATTAGTGTTTTATATTTGATTTACCATAGGTTATATATTTATAGAGATAATTTAGTTAGATGAAGAGTTGAAAAAAAAAAATTTGCACTTATATAAAATTTTACTTTTAACAAATATCAATATAATGTTTAATCATTCTTTCAAGAGAAAATTTAAACTCCAAATTTTCCTGCCACTAGTTATCTATTTTGTTAATACTTAAGTGAGAACACAATAATATATATAACTAAAACTTACTTTTTTTTAAATTATCAAATCCTTTATTAAATTTTATAATATTTATATACTTATCAATAATTTCTGTATATTATACGAATAGGCTCTTGTGAAACTTATACAACTTTACATCCATTATTGTTTTTCTGATTTTTAGAATTTGAATCTGATTCTATCAATTATAAAAAATAAATAAATTAACAATTATGATCAAAAGAAATTTAACTTCAATTAAAGATAAGTTTCCTTCGTGATCTATCATATTACTATTTTCAATTTATAACGGATTTGAAGTAAAAGCTTTGCCACTTAAAATACATTAGTGTTTAATTATCAATAATTAAGTAATTAATCGTGTACATTTTAATATAAATTTTAAGTATATTAATAATATTAATTTCACAAATCTGCTTCATACTTTTTAATAAATTTTGAGATTTTAAAGTATTTTAATTCAAAAAGAAATATTGAATAATCCTTTTATCCTTTAATATATTAGATAATATTATCAGAATTTGAATCTAATTCAAAATTCTTTATTTAAATTCCATAATAATACCAATTATAGATGAAAAATAAAATAATAATTTATAAAAACCAATTATTCCATAACTTTTAGAAATAAATTATATACTAAATTTAATGATAATTGATTGATATTAAAAATATATCAAACTAATATTATATTGATCTTGTCTCTCATTTTAAATAAAATTAAAGGATTTTTTTTAATAAAATTTGAAAAGGTAAATTTAAAAAAAATTAATGATTATATTGAGTTTTTAAAATCAGAATAGCTTACCGAGTTTATTAAATATTATTATTATATTAATCAACATCTATGGTATTCACATAAAATTAGATCAAATTCAAGATTGATTAATCTATTTATACAATAATTTTAGGATAATTTCTATTTATTATTATAAATATTAAAAAAGATAGGGAAACTATCTTTTGATTCAAATAATTAATAACCAAATTAGGAGAAAGTAAAAAAATTTGTTGAGAAAACACAAAACACTAGAATTTATTTCTAAAAGAATTTGAAAAAACAGAATAGATTTTCATACTAAACTACAAGGAGTACAATTAACCAGTTTTTTTGAATCCATTCTGGACATTTTCGATGATCTTTGTGATATATGACTCTATGAATATCTGGAATTATTACTATGTTTTTATTAAACTTATGTCAAATTACAAAAGAAAAGATTTAGGATAAGAACTAGGGTTCTGATAGAAGATATAAAGAGAAGTTGATAGAATCAAATATTCCATTTATAATTTTAACTACTATTCAATTCTCTCCTAAATCCCTTTTAATGGACTTAAAATAATTTTCTCCCAATTAAATCATTAAATCTACAAATTCTCTTATATTAATGATATAAAGAATTAATAATAAGTAAACTTAAAAATAATTTTAAATAAGGATTATTTATCTAAAGAATCCTTTAATGATAATATAATATTTATACAATATTTTGACATTAGAATTATATTAATTGTGACAAAAAGTTTTTATTATTATTGATTCATGTATTCTGTTATTTTTATAAGTTATTTTTAGCCAAAGAATTTTATTAAACTTTTTATACGCTATCATTTATTAACAATAATTTTTTCATTTGTTAAAAGTAGAAAAATAATTACAAATATTTAATAAGAACTAGAAATAAATTCTGTTAATAATAGTTACAAATTTTTGAATATAATTATTAATACTTAAGAATTAAGTTTGATACTTTTATTTTTTGTTGAATTTTAAGATTATTTATGGTATTATCACAATAAAATAATTTTTAATTTGTGGATTTATATTGAAAAATCGAATAAAACTTTCACAATTGAGTTGAAATTTATCTAGATCTGAAAGGGATGCAATATTCTCCAATAAAAATCATATAGCTTTATTTACTTTTGAGATTTAAAAAAAAAATTGTATTTTCATATAATAAATCATTTTTAGTTTTAAATTAAACTTTCATAATTAAAAATTTATTATAATTCAGCTTGATGTTCTTTTTAAATTAGGTAATTAGCCTACTCATATTAAATAATATGCCATCCAGAAATCTTCATCCTATTAATTTCTAGAAAAAGATTAAATAGATTAGAAACATTAATAAGAAGAAAAGAATTTTTTAGTCTAAAGTATAGAATGCTTTCTTGTGATTTTCAATTTATAAACATAAAGTTTTCTTAATCAAATATTTCTTTTACAAATTGCTTTCAACTAAATTTAATATTAAGTTATTTTTAATTTATAAATATTCTATGGGAATAATTTGCTCTAATTGCTAAAATATGAAAGAAACAATTGAAACAAACATTAGGTAAATCATTTCTATGATGATAAAGTCATCATTAATATTAGGATGTTGATAAAGATTTTGTAAATACCCTAAAAGAATATGAGTACCCAAGAAGAGATTAGAGCCATTTTTAATGGGTGAAGACTAAATTTTTAGTAGCTTAGACACAAAAAAAGTAGTTGTTATACCTAAAAGATGGATAAATCCTTAGGATGTAAATAAACGATTTAAAAAATAGAGATTAAATTAAAGACTGTTCAAACACTATAGAAGTCTTAAATAATTTAGATTAAATAAGAAATTTAGAATGGATTGGAAAATATGGAGAAAATAACAAAAAAGTTGGCATGTGGACGGCTTTTTGGAATGGAGAAAAACAATATGGAGTAGGTGGAGTTTACTCAGACGATGGATTAAAGCAGGGCCTTTGGAAAGAATTAAGAAATAATTATTCTAAGTAAAATTTAATGATAAAATATAAGCTATGCTCCAATTTATGAAATTGGAGAATATGTCAATAATTAAAAAAGGGGAATGTGGAAATTTATTTTAAAAAATAATATCATGTATTAATTTTTGATAATTTTTAGTGGTGGTGGAAATTATAATGATTAAGGAAAAAAGAATGGTAAATGGATTGAATTGAGTAATTATTTCTAAAGGTATTTATTATACACATAATAATTCTCAGTAAATGTTAAGTCAGTTATGTAGGGGAATATAAAGATGGTAGGAAAATTGGTATTTGGTTTATAGATTTTCATAGGAAAAGAAATAATTAATTAATGTAAGATTATTATTATATTAATATATTTAATTATTGGAATTAATTAGAGGAGGAGGATTATATATAGAAAAATAAGAAGAGGATGGTTTCATAAAAAAGGGAAAGTGGGTTGAAGAATTAGAGGGATATGAAGAGTATCTATATAGAATTGAAAGATATATTTTTAGGCCTAGCCATATTACTTTTTGGGGTGAATACAAAAATGGAATAAAAGTTGGTATTTGGGATACTGAACATTTATATTCTTATAATCGAAAGCTGTAATTTTTTTTGAATAATATTTATCAATAATTTAGAGGTGGAGGATTATATGAAAGCCAGCTAAATGTTGATGGTTTACTCACTTCAATAAAAGTAGGAAAATGGATTGATTTGTGCGATTGGTTTCATTAGTATTTTATTGATATTATATATTAATAAGTTATCGATTTATCACAAATGAAGGCGAATATAAAAATGGTAAAAAAATTGGTAGTTGGGATATTAAATGGGAATAAAATAAGATGTAATAATATTTGAAATTAAAATAGAGGGGGTGGATTTTATGATGATAACAGTGGTGACGAGGATTCAATTAAAATTGGAAATTGGATTGAACAATCAGATACATTTAATCAGTATTACTTATTTTTGATTATTTAGTAATAGCTAAATTACGTATGTTGGAGAATATTAAAATGGTAAAAAACAAGGAAAATGGGATATATATTTCAGGCATCATTCTAAATAGTTAATGTAATTTTATTTCCTTTTTTATAGTGGTGGGGGATAGTATGAAATAAAAGAAAAAGATGGTATTTTTTATTCATCTAAATTTGGATTTTGGACTGAAATATTTGAATTTTTTGATCAGTATTTTTCTTGATTACAAAATTATTAGAGGAAGATCACTTTCTTATTCAGGTGAATATGAGAATGGTCTAAAAATTGGTAGATGGAATACATTTTATGTGACCATATTCTGGGAAAAAGTTCAATTAATGTAAGTGAATTGTAATTTTTATTTCAAAAAGTGGAGGTGGATACTATTCTATATTTGAAGAATAAGAATTTTTGGGTTCATTGAAGACTGGTAAATGGATTGAAGTTGAAACTGAATATTTTAACAATTATTTTATCATTTCTACAGGAGAATATAATTATGGTAAAAA